GAAAAGATTCGTAACTCCACATTACTAGAACGTCTCAGCAAGACTACTGAGATCATAAAAAGCATCAAGCAGAGAAAGCTGGAATATTTCGGACATGTAATGAGAGGTCCCATGGTCTCATGGTTGAAGAACTTGCGAGATTGGTATGGTGTAGATACAAGCATGCTATTTAGGGTGGCAGTGAATAAAATTAAAATAGCTATGATGGTAACCAACGTTCTGAAAGGACATGGTACATGAAAAAGAAGAATTAATAGTCTAGGTATATGGTTGCCTGATCTAGTACAATACATATACTTTTCTGTGCGTTTATTTTTAATCCCGTTTTCAGTGTAGACACCCTTAATGATCGAAATGCTTCGATCAGATATTCTGTGGACCTAGCAATAATGTCTATGTCATCTGCATATCCGACCACTTTTTCTAGTGCAAGATTAAATAAGAGACGCGACAGTCCATCTCCCCGTCTCAGTCCATTTTTACAATGGAAGGGTCTTGAAAAGTCGTTTTGGATTCTGACTACACTCTCTACGCCTATGAGTGTAAGTTCCAACCAGTCACCAAAGATCGACGCTAGCGGCTCCAGTGACAGACGCTTCAGTCAAAACGTACCTTAACATTGATGGTAAAATTGCCAGAATTATGGAAGTGGATTGTCTCTTATTGTTCAAAATAACTTCGCTCTTCCCTATTATTTTTCTTTAATACTTCGTTTATTAAAACAGGAAAGGGTTATAATCATCGAGCAAAAAGACAAAAGAGGGAATCTAATCGTTATAAAATAGAGACCAAAAAAGTGGCCTCTGATGGCGGACATATCCGGAAATGCAAAGGCGCTAAATTTAAATGTTCCGACACTTATTAACAATAGCTATAAAATATTTTTCAGATGAGAAAGTTTTAATTAAATATTAACGATAATAGTCTAAAAAGTGACACGATTGGTAAAAAACTTCAATATAAATAAAATTTCATGTGACAGTTGGGACAAACAATAACATAACCAAACTAAATTTGATTTCTTAAACAAGGAAAGAGACTGTCTTTCCTTGTTTAAAGTGGCCTCTCAAGATAGCACTTCCTGTCTAACAATATTTTTGTCCCCACTACCTTTACATTCCCTCTTTTGTCTTTTTGCTCGATGGTTATAATAGAAACTCGAACATTATAAATAAATAGATTTATTGAATAAATTTTCAGTTACAAATATAAATTTATAGTAAAAGGAAGCAACTGATTTGTCATTTTATTATTTTGTAATATTTTTGTAAATTATATATTAAGGTCATTTATTAACAGAAAATATAATATTTAATAACATGTGCATATTATATTAATAACAAAAATATAAAAACAAAACACTGGTACTTAATTTATACATCTGTCAAACAGTTATTGCACGTTCATAGAAAATATTCAATTAAATAGAGTTAATGCGGATTTTTAGGCAAGTGTTAGAACGATGCGTTTTTTCAATGAGCATCGTTGCAATGACGTATCCAGATGCTTGTTTTAATTCGAATGTAAAAACCTATTCAAATTGTGTATTATTTTGTTACTATAAGTCCGCTTGTAAATCAATAGAGAGAATATAATACCTAGTAATCAATAATAATCACATAAATTCTGTATACAACGAGGAGTACTGGAGTACGGCAAGCGAGGAGTACACCGTTCTTCCAAAGCTATTCACGACACTTTTAGAACATCCTGTAAAAAAGCATGTCTGAACTACTGTGGTATCAACATAGGAAGAAGCTCAGTTATTTGAGATTCACAGATGACATCGTCTTATTGCCGATGTCAACGAACTATAGGGGGCGCTTTGACAGATGATCACGCACGTAGGAAAACAAAACAGAGCGACCATAACCTTTGTAGGTGAATCATTGTTGTGTCTAAAAATTATCCGTATTTATTATCTTCCATTTATTTTTTTGTTAACGCAATGGCAAATAAAGAAATTGAAGTTGGTCTGCTCCATATTTTGAAATATATAGGAGACACAAAAAAACTTTTAAAAGAAAGCGAGGCCTTGTTAAAGGCTGGTCACGTTGTGTTGTGTGGCAAATATAATAATAAATTAGTCGATTTGTGTCTGTAAACGACTAATTTAAATTGTGCCCCACATGAAATCACTGTAGATGTGTTAAGAGACGAGTGTGGGTGGCAAAATGCAATTGTAAAGCCCGCCAGTGAGGAATGTGCGTGTGTTTTATTACGCATTAGTCTAGTATTCACCAGTTCCTCATTGATTCTTCTTTCGTGTTTTATTTTAAGAAGGCATTGAGAGGGAACAACACCTTTCTTTGAAAGTTCCTTTTGCCCTGCTGCAGAAAAATTTTAATCTCTAAGATCTATGTTAGTGTATTTATACATTTGGTTAGGTTAGGTAGGCACATTATATATAATAAATGTTGTAATTCTGTTCAGAAAATTTTGGAGACAGAAAAAAATGTTGTGGAGACCCAATCATATCACTTGATATCGTTTTCCCAAGTTTTATTTCCTGTTTCCAACGATCTTATAGATCTTTGTCACGAGGAAAAAAGTGCATACTTATTCCTTCCGATCGATAATTACCATTGCGGTGCAGAGCAATACGGTTTACATTTACTTTTTGACATTTTGTTACCTTATTGTGCTTTATTTAATAATATTTAAAATGTTTATAACTGTCTTATGTGTGTATAACTAAATACAAAATGTTTTGTTATCCTACGTGCACTAGTTCAAAATTTTGCCGCACAAACATGTGAGCTCTCACATCGCATAGGATTAACCTGGTCAGTGTTTGGTAAATTAAACTATGTATTTAAATCAGACCTACCCACATGACTTAAAAGGAAATTGTTTGACCATTGTGGTCTATAGAGACATAAGAAGTAATATCAAATATATTCATATCAAAAATACTATGAAAAATCAAGTGGAAATAGCTACAACTGGGACCGTACATCTTGTATGAATCATTGACTATTCATTGATTAATTATTCGAGACTTAGTAGTTATGGGTAAGTTAAAATGTTTAGAATTACATCTACCAAATACGTCATTGCCTTGTTCGGTTTATATTATTAAATATTAGCACCGTACGTGTAGTTGATTCAGAAGTAATGTTACTTTTTTATTTGTTTTAAATTTAACTTTACCGTTTGGCACAATAATATTTTGATTTGCTTTTGTTATTATAATATCAAAATAATTTATACCGGTTGTTCTGTGTAAGCTTCTCTATTACGAGTAAACTTTTAGTTCATGCTGTATATTTATAGCAGGCATTTCATTTCCAAAGTGTTTTTAACAGGTTATGGGCCCAGTACCACGTATTGTGAAAAAAGTTAATATTAAAATAGCAGAAACGAGCTCAAATTCTATCGTCAATGTACCTAAGTTAAAAGGCAGCGAGAATAGAAGTGGATTGAATCATTCCTTTTAGGTCGTTTATCCCGAAAACTTTGCGCCGATGATAATGGCGATAGAACAATCAGATATTCCTATTACAAAAGACGACAATAAAACCAAACTCCGAGAACAAGAAGCCAGTAGTGGTGTGAGTGGGTTCGTTAGTAAGTCAAGAAAAATCCGAACAGTAATTAAGGAAAAACTAGTGGTATAACGGTACACTGGTCAATCATTTGTCAAATATGATAAATGACAAGCCATATATCGAGTGTTACAGACGTAAATAATTTGGTTATTATCAAAATACATGCCCTAATTTTACAAAATCATGGAATAATAACGAGAAGAGTACTTTTAATGGTACATTCAAGAAAAATGATTGATATATAGATTCAGAATTCAACATTAGGTAGTTTTACAAACAATTTATAGTGGATAAAAAACGAAAACTTGCCTCACACCCAATTATAACATATTGATGTGCAACACCATTTTATAAGAGAACTAAAGCATTTAAATTAAAATAATATACCAGCATATCTTTAAGGAGGAGTTTGTGTGGAGTTGGACATTAAAAATATATTATTCTTATTGATAATGTAACTGTGTTGAGTTATGGTGGTGTTGAATCCAGTCACGGACCAGATATTGTAAATCTTTTTGCAGAATATTTTTCTATTCCACTCAAATATGTGACATACCCAGTGATTCACCTTCATTTGGTCTTACCAACTTGACTAGTTTCAACATAACTATATCTGATATTTATTTAAAATTATCAGAACTGGATGTAAATAAGGGTCCTGGTCCTGATGGATTGCCTCCCAGCTTTCTTAAGAATTGTTGTTTTATATTATCCAGGCCTTTTTTTCACATTTTTAATCTATCCTTAAATAAAGGTGAATTTCCAGAATGGTGGAAAATAGTTTTTTAACATTTTTAAAGCGGGAGATAATTTATTGGTGAACAATTACAGTAATACCAAAGATATTTAATATTTTGTATATGAATGTTTTGTATATCTCTTAAAGCTTCACTTGAAAAACAGCTAGTAGACCAACAATTTGTATTTTGGAATAGCAGATCAACTGAATGTAATATACTAGTGTTTGTGGACTTCCTGAGAAACACTGAGGATCTTTCAGTATCTGAAATAATTTTTTATACTTGTATGGAAAATAGGGCTACTTGCATTCCCAGGCCGCTTCTAAACCCAAACTGAACACTGCTAATGTTTTCCTCAAGTTTTCTATATATGCGAGAGTAAATAACAGAAAGAAGGATTTTGAGTACATGAATGAATGAACAAAATGAATGTTAGTGAATGAAGTCCTTATTTATTCTTCAACCAATTAAAAAAAAACAATACTTCTAACTTCTTATGAGACAAATACACACAAATTAGAAATGTTTGGAAAGGTTTTTAAAACAGCCGCCTTTGTGACGACAGACTTAGGTAGTCCATTATTCCAACGGAGAATTTTGTATTTCAAAACGACTCAGTCTCTAAAAATACTTTTTCAAGTTATAAAAATAAATGCTTAAGAAAACTTCATATTTAAAATACTTCTGAATCAACCCATTATGCCTAAATTCAATTACGTTTGGAGGAGTTTATCAAATATTTACAACAATGAGTCAAAAGATGTTTTTCTCCTGTCAAATCTAAGGTAGAAGCCATTTCTCGTGTGTAAATATCTAAGCCATATTGACCTTCTTCGGGAAAGCTGATATTGAAGGTTACTATATCTTCAGCGACGCTATGCGATACGAATTTAGATAACCGTTTTTCTTCTACACCATTTTTGTGAAGTGTCGCCATGAAGTCGGTAAGTTGGCGTGACATTCTGAACTGGATTTCTAGCTCTCTTCCAGCATATACTAGCGAATCCTAAAAATAAGAAAGAGACGTGAGTTAAAATTGTTATTATCTAAAAAAATTGTAATAATATATTTTTATTAAAACGTGTTACACTTATTCATATTTTAATGTAAACGTGATTGAGGTTTTAAACTTGAGCTGAACTTTAACTCAGCTGTGATGCAACTGCGCATCATCTGACCGGTAGTACAAACACTAACGAAACGGGTGAGTCATACTACAGCTTGTTATGAAACATGATTTAGACATACTACAACGATATAAGTAATTGATATAACAGTGGCCGCGACTCACGTGGTTTGAACTTACGAAAGTGATTAAAAAAATGGAAGGAGAGGATTAAAAAAGGGATTAGCTATCGCTAATCCTTTTTTTCTCCGCCCGTGTTGTTATCGCTTATTTTGTTCCTCCACCTATGGATCAGAGATAATAACACCGACAGAGAAACAAGGACTAGTGATAACAATACGGGCGGAAAAAAGTATTAGCGATAGCAACAAGGACGGTAGTCCAATGATTAGACCGGAAGTCATTCTTCCTCCGCCCATTTGAGGAAAAAGGATCAGCGATAACAACACGGGCGGAGAAATCAGGATTAACGATAACAACATTGGGATAGAATACTAGAATATAGCAAATTTCAGTCAAGTTAGAGATAGATAGAGAAGAGATAGATCTCATGTAGTCGATAAAACAGCATCAAAAGAAGATTTGCCTTTAATACTACTGATTGTTTGGATCAGTTCAGATTTGTCAACTGGTCTTATAAAGAATGAATTCTAGACCTTTTTGTTGAATTGGGGAGATAGAAAAAAGATCGTGTTGTGGTAAAATAGTGGATGTTAAATTTTTACTCACATTAACGAAGTATTTATTTAGATTTTCAGGGTTTGGAAGAGAACATGTTTGAGCTGTGTTAGTTTTATCTCGAAGATCGTTTATTATGGACCAAGTTTCTTTTGCAACATTTTTAGAGCTTCCCAGACGATTTTTACAGTACATTTTTTATCTGTTTTGATAAGTTTTAGATAGGTTTCTCTGTACTTGGAGATATATTCAGTGACAAAGACGTTGGTAGTAAATTTCTTGATGTACAGTAGTGAACACATATTCTCGGCTGATATCTGCATACCTTTGGTAGTCCAGAGATAACAGTCTTTGATTTAATTGTAATTAAAGGAAATGCCTTATTGAAAATACAGACAAGCATATCCAAAAAATCACTGAAATATAGTCCACGTCCACAGAGGAAAAGTACCACCCAGAAGTTAAGCACACATTTTGGAATTTACAAAAGCTCTGAGCGGAAAAAATCCTACCTAAACGTTTGGTTTTCGAGGATGGTTTGTTAAGAGTGTTAAACTTGGTATATACTGCTTGATGATCAGATAGTTCTGCATTAATAATTGTAGAGCGTACATCAATTGGTCCATTTTGTCCATCGTCTTTTTGTCCATCTTTTTGTCCATTCATCCATCCGATGGACAAAAAGGTTATTGGAATGGAGGCCAAGGGAAGACAAGAGAAGCGTCGGTCGACCACCTACAAGATGGACAGACGATTTAAGAAGAACCAATAAAAATTGGATAAGAGCGGCCCAAGATAGACGGGGTTGGAAACATGAGCAAGAGGCCTATGTTCAGCAGTGGACTCTTGAGGCTGGATGATGATGATGATGACATCAAGGGGTGAGAAATCTAAGACAAAATAATCAATTATGGTAGATGTTGTTTTAGTAATTCTTATAGGAGAATTAACGTGCATTGTGAAACCATACGATTTAAAGGGATAAATAAACCATACCAAGAATAAATATGTAGCACAAGCAACAGCGTAATTAATATTCCAGTCACCGCATAGAATTTTTCTTTTATTGGGCAGGTCGTCAAATACATTTTGCAGGTTCTAAAAAATAATTCCGTGGAAGAATCAGGTAATTTATAATTCTAAAGAATGTCTAGAGACAAGCGAGACAGTTCTTCAAAGGAGTTTCAGAGTTTCAAAGAACAGGAAACTTACTTCAAAACGATAGTGGACAGCTTATCACTGATGACAAGGAAATCCTAAAAACCTGGAAGGAATACTTCTATCAACTATTTAATGACCAATCTAGCAGAAATACATCAAACATAGAGGTACATACAGCTGAAATAGAAGACCAATACCCGACATACGAGGAAGTAATACAGGCAATTAAAAAACTCAAAAATATTAAGACACCAGGTAGCGATGGTATACCCGCAGAGTGCTTAAAACATGGAGGGAGAAGCGTTGTACAGTTCGATATACAAGCTAATTCAAGACATTTGGCAAGAAGAAACAATGCCAGATGAATAATAAGACACCAGGTAGCGATGGTATACCCGCAGAGTGCTTAAAACATGGAGGAGAAGCGTTGTACAGTTCGATATACAAGCTAATTCAAGACATTTGGCAAGAAGAAACAATGCCAGATGAATGGAAAGAAGGGGTTATTGTACCATTACACAAAAAAGGAAACAAAAAGCCATGTAATAACTACAGGGGAATAACACTCCTAAACACCACCTACAAATCCTTGCAAACATCCTGCTAGAAAGAACCAACACATACACAGAAGAAATCGTTGGAGATTATCAATACGGATTTAGACCGGGCCGCTCTACTATTGACCAGATATTCACAATAAAACAGATAATGGAAAAATGCTGGGAGTTTGATCGTGAGCTTCATCAGATGTTCATAGATTTTAAACAAGCATTTGATAGAGTATGTAGGGACAGACTGTGGACACTGGACAGTGATGCAGGAACTTGGCTTTCCAAAAAAACTAGTCCGGTTGATACGGATGTGTATGGAACGGTTACGATGTAAGGTGAAAGTTGGACAACAATACTCGGAGACATTTGAAATAAACAATGGACTAAAAGAGGGAGATGCACTTTCACCACAACTCTTCAACTTAGCTCTGGAGCAAATAATCAGAAGTGCAAGAATCGAAAAACCGAATACAGTATTTCATCGAGAAGGACCAAACTTACTACTGGCATTTGCAGACGATATAGATCTAATAGGAAACACACGATTCAGGATGAAAAAGACTTTCGTGAGGTTTGAGAAGAAAGCAGAGAAGATGGGGCTCCAAATCAACGAAAAAAAGACGAAATATATGTATATGAGCCGCAATAACCAAAGCAGAGACAGAATCGGCCAGAACATTACCATCGATGACTTTAACTTTGAGCGCGTTAGAGAATTCAAGTATCTTGGAACAACAATAACTGAAGACAATAACGGATCACAAGAAATAAACAACAGGATTCAGGCCGGTAACAGGTGTCTTTTTGCCCTCCAAAACCTTGTAAAATCAAAACAACTAACACGACGTACGAAGATACAGGTCTATAAAACAATCATATGACCCGTTGTGATGTATGGAAGTGAAACGTGGACTATAACAAAGGCAAAGAAGAGAGACTACGTGTTTGGGAAAGACAAATCCTAAGGAAGATCTTTGGTCCGGTGCCGGATGAAGCATCAGGACAATATAGGATAAGAACTAACAAGGAGCTTAAAGAACTTTACCCAGACGCCAACATCATAAAAGAAATAAAGTCCAGAAGACTACAATAGGCAGGACACCTCAGAAGACATTCTGACGAACGAACAGTAAGACTGGTGTGGGAGGAAGTCCCAACTGGAAGGAGACCACGCGGACGCCCTCGTCTCCGGTGGCGAGATAATATAGCAGGAGGCCTAAGCACTATGGGCGTGGAGAATTGGATGGAGGTTGCTCAAGACAGAAAACAGTGGAGGCATGTTGTCCAGTCGGCTAAAACCCACGAAAGGTTGTAACGCCACGGAGTAAGTAAGTAAGTAAGTAACTATATCGATTAAGATTCTTGTTATAAAACAATGAAAACTCTACTATTTGAAGAACGAGTAGAGTGACACGTGTGGCCCTTTCACTGAAAGATGTTTATTTTGCAATGTAGAAAATAATAAACCTTAATGAAATACAAACAGAAGTTTATGTTTATTTCATTTTTAACCTCGTAGCTAATATTTTATACTCTAGTTTAATATAATTAATTTTTTCAGTAATCAGTTCTATTTCGTATTACATGAGGTTTATTTTAAAAAATATTAAATCCGTTTTATAAAATGATGTAATTGTCCTACAGCCACAGATTTAAGCGAAATTAGTAACAAATTGCTTGTATCCTCTAAAATTAGACAAATTGCGGTTTATGTACAAATTCCGTTTAGATATAGTGACCAAAAGGCAATTCGGTTTTGGAAAAATCAATGATGTAATTTCCAGTGTTATCATTTTTTACAAATTAAAAATATCTACTACACAGCCGCAGGAAACCAAAAGGAATCAGTAATTAATTGCTTTCATCCTATAAGATTAGACAAATTGAGCTTTTATTTAAAAAATTGTTTTAAATATAGTAATCAAAAGTCTTTCCGGTACTCAACTAATTAAAATATACCACAGCTGAATATTAAATCAGCGGATTTCAAAATGTGGGGTGGACTTAAATCCGTTCCTCGCGATTCTGGGCATAGCTAAATTCCAATGTAAAAGTTTATATCAAATAACGCAAAAACTATGGCAGATATTGAGATGATTATTTTTTTATATGAAAGATCTTAAAAAGTTCTACTGCACTATTTGATTGTAAATTAATAAATTGTTTTAAACAATATTTTTTTTCAAATATTTTTGGTTAAAATAAACGTAATTTTTGTTTTTTCAAATAGGGCACTACAGAATTTGACCCACTTTCCGAATCTGCTTTTATTTTTAGCATAAAGTGTAACACAAAGCAGCTATTTGGTATAAACTTTTTAAAAAATCTCAAAGTTCTGCTAAATGTTACTCTCTCTCGGTCAGTACAGGCTGTCCTTGTCGATAGTTTCTGGCTTCTTGCCGACGGGTAGGTAAGAAGTATATTCCGTCTCGAGGGAAGTATTTCAATTAGAATTATTATTTTCTTTTCTTCTTTACATGAGCTCACAGT